AAACATTGACATTCCCCCCATGCTACCCCAAAAACACAGCTCTTAACCAGCCTGTTTGCTCTGCTAATGTATGGCACTAGGGATGGGAAAGTGTAAACATATAAACAGTTAACTGATGAGCCTGGGCTAATCGGTTAACCTTCAAAGTTACGCATATCAGAGGCAGCAGAGGGAAGGAAAGGAGAGGAGAGAGAGGTAGGCAGAAGCCGGAGGGGAGCCAGCTCCTAAGCCAGCTCCCCATGCACAACAGCTCCCACACAGCCACAGCCCCCACCCCCACATGTAAACATGTAACTGCTGAAATTCTCAGTGGTTACAGGTTTACCAAAATAAATGCATTTTAACATCCCTAGTCAGCATAGCATCAGCAGGCCAGGCGAGGGTCCTGAACCGGGGAGCAAACTAAGGAGACAATGGAAAGAGGAGATGGGGAAATTCTGACCATGGGCTCAGATGGGGACTTTAGCATGGACTCGGCAGTCCCGTGAGCTTGGTTTCGATTTGGCGTTAGGTATGGAGTACTTCTGGCAATGGGGGAGGGGGGGGGAGAGAGAGAGCGCGAAGCAGCGCTTAGCGGTGGGGCATAAGATGAAGACGGTACATAGCACTGCCTGTAAAAGGAAGCCACGCAGAGGACAGGCCATGACAAGGAAAGATCTCCAGACGTAGCTCTGCACTGCCATGGCTCTTCCACGCCGGAGCTTTTCCCGGAGAAGACGCCTGACCATCCACTCTCAGTTGCCTTGCTCAGAGCCATAGGCTCAGCCTCACTATTCAGACTAAACCTGGGCTTCTCTTTTCTTCTCACCCCAGCAGGGGAGCGGGCGCATTCCAAGATGGGGACACACACAAGGAATGCTCTCTATTTAGCAGACTAACCCACTGCGTTGCTAAGCAACCAAGCACCAGCAGCGGGCACGGGAGAGAAGCGTTATTTCATTTCGGATTTCCTCCAAGGCCAGTTGCTCTGCTGGGAGCCTGGCAGCAAGCAAGCCAATTACAGGAGGAAAGTGATCAACCAAACCCTTTCCACTTTCCTTCCCGCAAAGGACGAGCAGACTGTGGTACCCAGCTGTGATGACATGAACAACACAGGAGAGTAAAACATGAGAGGATGGGGGGAAGGGGCAAGGATGTGCCAGTCATCTGCTCCCTGGAGACGAGACAGTGCCCTGCTGTGGGGCTGCTAGAACAAAGCACTGTTCAGAATCATTAGGCCCAATGTTCAAGGGGGAAGTGGGGGGTGTTTAAAAACAGAATTAATAGAAACACCGTGCAATCTAACAATACATCCAGTCCCCTGCATTCCAGCGACTACGAACTGGTCCCGACTCGTGGACTAACGTGAACTTTAGCAGGTATCACATCATCTCCTAGCAGGCCGGTGTCCACAGGATTGCCAGAAATTTTGTCAATCAGAACTTGGTGGGAAGCCTGAGAAAAAGTATGAAAGGTTGAGACACTGCCGAGAAGCAAGAGCAAGAACTGAACAGAGTGGGCGGGGAAGAAGAGCAAAGAGGCGCCATCATGTGATGTCAAATGCATAAAGCAACCTGAAAAGAAAGACTGTTTCTGTGATTCCTTTTAGTCACAGGGACTCTCTGTAGGCGGTCTCCTAACATAAGATATAGCAGTATCGGACGTCAGTCTAATATCAGGGACATGTCCCTTCTGACATTGCTTGGCAGGGTCTGCAGCTCCGTATGAGAAACCAACAGGGTACCAACAAAGTGAAAGTGACCACTTTTCTTTTACTGTCAGATCTGAGCAAAGAGCAAGCAGTGAACAAGCTGCACAAATGGTGGGATGGACAATAGGAGGCTCAGTGGAAAACCAAAACGTGTCATAAGCACCATCTGATCTGAAGGTGCACTGCACTGGGCAGATTATTGCATTTTGTGCCACATGGCTTTTTAAGCCAACATGTTCCAAGAGAGCTGCCGGTCTGTGATGGGAACACAAAGAAGGGCCTCTCTGATTTGATGTACAGTGCCACCTGTTTTCTGATGGGAGGTGCCTTGTCTCAATCCCTGCACAGAAATAGGGGAGAAAAGCCATCTAACAATTAAGCTGGGGGCATATTTTGTTTTCTGATGAGAGGTGCCTTGTCTCAATCCTTGCATAGAAATAGGGGAGAAAAGCCATCTAACAATTAAGCTGGGGGCATATTAAATGGATGCCCAAGTGCCCTGAAGATGAAAAGCAAAAAGAGCCTGGCCTCAAGCCAGCCACCAATTCCAGATTACAACCACGCTCAAATACTTGGGAAGCGTTGGATGATGCTCGAAAGTAGCGGACACTTGTACACTACCAGCTTGTTGCCATGTTTTGGGCCCTTCACATCTTGTGGGGGGGGGGTATCGGGACATCAAGTTTACTACAAAGTTGCAGATCTCTTAAACAAGTGGGCAAAGATTAAACCAACCCTCTTGGTTGTTCAGCAGTGAAACACGAACATTGAAGATGACTGAAAAGCACAGCAGATGGACGTTTGGTTCTCATCATGTTTGTCGGGGAAGAGCAGAAAGTATTACTTAATATACCTCCTATTATTCTGTTATCAGGACAACAGCAGCCATGTAGATTTGGTTATGAATATCTTCAACTGCCTCCATCAGCACTAGTTTAGTTTTGGTGGCTTGCATGGGATGTGCCTATTTTTAGGATGGAAGACCAATGAATTCCCAAGCAAGGAGAGCTACTATACAGTTGACAACATGTGGTCCCAAAAGCTTCAGTGGCATGGTAATCAACTGAATATTAACTGATAGATATCAACTGAATATTCAGGCAGACCTCTTAAGGACATCAACAGAGGTGGCCGTTTGGGAACCGCCACAATGCTCACGACTACTCCAAGATCCTGCAGTTATTAACGACGTGCTCATGAGGGGAACTAGCCAGCTGCATCATAGATCAAGATACTGTGGTAGAAGCACAGACCACAGCAATATGCAATCTTCCCCTTACTTCCCCCTTTCCAGGCTCCCCGCCTTTTCCCCCCCATGCCCAAACCCTCATTATCTTGACCAGGTATTTTTTTTAAAACCACAAAGATACAATCCAGTGATGAGACAAAACCAGGGACAGAGCTTCCCAAACACCCTGAGCCAGCTCCATTTTCAAAGCACTTTGCAAAAGCTACAGTGCATTTAAAGATTCTCCCTTTCCACAGGTGTCCTTGATGTATTAGATCAATAGGTAAGCTATGGAGCACAACACACACACAATCAGCCATCTGACCAAGAGTCTCAAAAGTAACTAGAGACTCTGTCTCAATTCTGGGGTACCACCGAGACACCTTACATGGACCTGATTGTCCAAAGGCAGAGCCCAACTTTCAGAAGTGCTGGACGTGAGCCCAGAAGGGGCCCCTCCCAACTCCAAGACTTAAATGCTCCATCATGGATCATATCCCTTCTGAAGTCATCCACGCTTCTCGTGCAGCCAGTCCTCCACAGGCAACTGAGCTGCTCTCTGGCAAGTACCTGGTGGGATCCGGGGAGAGGCGAGACAAGAGGAAAACTAGCTCTGCCAAGTGAGAAAGGGCAAAAGTCTGCTGATGAGGGGGAATGACAAGCAGCCTGTGGTATCAAATCCAACCATTAGCAAGCAGTTGCCAGAGTATTTTCAGTCTCATTATAATCCTTCCAGCTTCTTCCCCAGAGTGTGTGTTGATGCCCATCTGGCCCAGCTGTGCAGTGCACAGTCTGCCAGCACAGCCCCTGTGCTCCTTGTTGAACTTGGCTAACTGGGCTGTTTTGGCTTCCAATGCCAATGAGCACACTGCTGATAAAGGTGGGTTTTGCTTTCCACCCATCCCAAAGGGGCAGCCATCCAGCCTCTTGCACAGCCTCAAACTGGACAGTGGCCAAGCTTGGCTGCCAGCCAGATTCAAGAGGCACCAATGCAATTAGAGCCCCTCTAATATTCGAGGTTTATACTCTTCATAATACCCGTCATTAAAGCCACACACATCACAGAGCTACCCTGCCGAACAGGCAAGTGCCAAACGGTACGGCACTTTGACACTGATGATGGGAAATGGCCCAGGCATGTGCTGCACACCCTCTCCTAACCCTCATTCAGGCTTCCTGGGTAAGGCAGGATTGGGACTCAGAACACAGAATCTATCCCCTTCCCAAGGCAGGATCCAGCCTCACTTCCTCCCCCTCCCACCCCACCATGGTGGATGTTTCAGACACTGATCAGAAAGCAACTTCCATAGAACAGCCGCTATACCCCACAGCATACGCTGCTCAAACCAGGACACGGTTGGGCCAAATTCTTACAACCCTTGCGTTCAGCAAGGTAACAGAGGGCAGAATTTGACCCTCTGCTTTTACAATGAAAAGGAAGAAACTTAAAGTTGTATTCATTTATGGAGGCCTAGTTAGTGCTGCACCATTAGCCTGGGCAGTGGCTAGGGTTCTGTGCACACCTACCTACTAGGAACTGGGCAGAGATAGGGTTCAGAGGAGTAGCGGTTAGTCTGTTTCAGCAAAAACAACAAGGAATCTAGTGGTACTTTAAAGACTAGCTTTCGTGAGATACAACTTGCTTCCTCAAATGCTTGAAGAAAAGAGAAAAAAAAAGAAATATACAGAGATGGGAGTGTGATATCAGTGCTAATTAAATCAGAGTGGATGCGGCTGATTTGCAACCGTGATGAGAAGGTGAGAGTAGCTGAAGGGGATATTAGCTACTGTAATGTGAGAACCGCTCCATGTGTCCATTTAAACCTTTTTTCAGAGTGTCAAATTTTCATATGAATTCCAGCTCAACGGTTTCTCCTTGCAGTCAGTTTTTGAAATAGCGGTGGGAGGGCAAACACACTCCCAGATTGAGCGGGAGCAGGACAAAGCAAGAGGCTCCATATTTCATCACAAGTCCCTTAAGCCATCCAGCCCTCTTGTTTTCCAGTACCACACCCATGCTGCAAACCTAAGCGGAGAGCCCCACCTGCCCTGTAGGAAGGTAGACCCCAGGCCTTCACTCACCCGCTGATGATCTCCTTGTTCTCGGCTCGGATGAAGTGCTCCTTCTCAGGGGTCAGGATGCAGAGGGAGAACTTCTGCCCCGTCCGGCTCTCCCCATCCACAACATCCGTGCACTGGTTCATGTTGATGGTGCCCTGGGGAAGGGTCGTGGGCTGGAACAGAAGGAGGCAAGTTTGAAAAGGAGTAGCAGAATGCTGCATGGTAGACATCCCACCCCCACCCTGGAGCACAGCTCTCCCCGCACATCCATTCATTCACAAGCTCAAGGGGGTCCAGCTGACTGTACCATTTGTGACTTCTCCCACTTCCCCACTCAGCATTTGCTTCTGGCTTTCCTATCCCACCACCCTTCACCCAAAGCAAAGCTTCAGTAAAGCCACTGGCTTAGTGTCCGACAGTTCACAGAGCTGACCACACACAGTCCCAGTTCCCACCCTGGACAAGCAGCCCTTCTCCTCCCTGACTAGGGAAGCGCTACCCCCATCAAGGTAGATTCCACGATCCCAAAGGGATGGGGGTGGGTAGTCCTGCTAGAAGAACCACCTCTGTTGCCTCAGGTTTACATCAATCACTGCTCACTGCCCCTAAGATCTAAGAGGCAAATGGAGTTCCATGGGTTGCCCCAAATACTGCTCACCCCACCCTCACCAGTGTGTCTCACCCCCCAAAAGTAGAGCTATAAAATCCCGTTTAAAAAGTTAACCGGTTAACTGGGATCCCGCAGCACGGTAGGCCCAGCTGAGCTGCTAGTTAACTGGTAAGGATGATGCTTACTGGGTAACCAGTTAACCCTTTACATTCCTATTCTACAACTCGTCCCTCCCCCACCCGAAAGCCCCATATACTCCCAGGCTCCAACATCCGGCCTCCACTACCTCTCCCATGCTAGCAGCCTCCAATCTCCCACCCCAATTTACTCTGGTAAAGTAACAGGCGCCTGCCTCCATGCACACCTGCTCTCAGAGCTGGGGGACAGGCCAAGCAGGAAATCGGCATCTTGCTCTCAGTGGCAAGAAACATCATGAGCCTAGGCATCATGGTTTTCCTGCGTGAGCCCTCAGACCCCTGCTCCACCAGACACTTTGCAAAAGGACTACTGTGCAGAGACCCATGGCTAAGGGTTACAAAAGGACTTCTCTGCAGCACAGCCTAATCAGCTGGTAGGACAAACATCATATACCCACGCTCCCTATTAAACGCAGCCTAATGATTCCAGCTCCAACTATAAAACTGCAGGAGGAAACAGAGCTGCCAGGGCTGACCTGCCCCCACGCTACAAAAAACAAGAGAAACCAAATGGCAGGACCAATAACCACCACACACAAGTGCAGAGAGAGCAGTGTCCCGGCTTGGAGCAGAGGCTTCTGGTTCAGACTTCCCAGAGCTGCCCGGCCACGCTCAGAATGCAGCCAGCGGTGGTCATGGCAGGTGACATGATTCCTGGACCAGCCCAGACAAGACAATCCACAAGATGATTATGGATCATCATCTGCAGGCTCCCTTCCCTGTAAAACGGGGCTATTTTAACGAAGGGTGATAACATGCTGAGCGTTAATTACTCAAGCAGGGGCTAGAGATGGGCAGGGTGAGGACTATGGACCTGGAGAGTCCCTGACCTTTAACACACAGCGTGGCCCTGCAGTGTACAGACAGCACCACTTCAGTGCTTTAGCCTTATTCCTGCAACAGGCATCAGCCCTGCTAGAATCCGAGGCTGAGTGGTGTGGAGAGGGCCGATAAAGAAAAGTTATTTATTAGCTCCCTAAATAGAAGAACTAGAGGACACCAAATGAAATTAATGGGTAGCAGGTTTAAAACTAATAAGCGAAAGTTCTTCTTCACACAGCGTGTAGTCAAGCTGTGGAACTCCTTGCCAGAGGAGGCTGTGAAGGCTAGGACTATAATAGAGTTTAAAGAGAAGCTAGATAATTTCATGGAGGTTAGGTCCATAAAAGGCTATTAGCCAGGGGATAAAATGGTGTCCTTGGCCTCTGTTTGTCAGAGGCTGGAGAGAGATGGAGACAAATCGCTTGATCATTGTCTTCGGTCCACCCTCTCTGGGGCACCTGGTGCTG